CCCCCAGTCTTTGTAACATTTCTCGGGTGTAGCCACCGGTAAACTCTGTGCCTTGGTCAGACCTAAGGTAGCAGAACTTGGCGTCATACCCTAAGATATTTCTGGAACTTTGAACAAAATTTTCTTAGCAAATTCCTGTATCACTTTTAGCTTTCATTGGATATGTCATGGCCATCCTGAATAGTCGTCCACAAATACCGACACATACCTGTAGCGTTTGGGATGTGAGATCGGACTTATTGGACCCATGGTGTCCGAATGAATGATCTGGAGGGGAGCTGTAGCTCTTACTCTTACTGTCTTAGTGGGGAGTTTGCTGAATTTTGCCATCGAACATACACGTCACAACTGGATATACTGTCATCAAACGTGACTTTCGTTAAATCCTTGATATCAGAAAATTTTTTCTGAAAAGCTGTAAGGTAGGCGAGGGAAGCATTCCCTAAGCTAACGTGCCACAGGACTGCTTCGTTTATGGAGTTTGTCTTCTCAAAGGTTTTATAACTGTCATTGATGGATGCATTTTCCACACTTATTTTATCCGGTTTCAAAAGCTTACGGTCTTTCATAGAGTTTTCGAACCAAGAGTCTAAGGGGTATGGCATTGATAAATTTTCAGTAAGTTCCTCTTGCTCGACATTTTTACTAGAGTTTCTGTCTTGGTTGCTGTCTTTTGTTATCGCTCTGCTTCGTGTATTATACCGAGGTTCGCCTGAGCCATTCGTCACCAGGTATGCTAGCTACCTGTCAGTCTTATTTTATCTTTGTTATGAATGTTCAATTCAATAAGCCAGTATGGCTGTTGATAGACTCCTGTAACAAATGACTCGTTCGAAGTTGGATCGAATATATCGATTTTATTATTGACAAGGTATATGGCCAGGCCTAAATCTACAAATTTTCTCAAAGAGAGTAAATTTTCTGACAAAGATTCGGAACAAATCACGTTATTCAGTGTTAAGTCATTATTATTGTTTCTACCAACAACCGTACCTTCTCCCTCCGTTTTCAAGTCTGCTAAAGGATTACTATTTGCACATTTAACTTTGCCTGTCTTACTGCAATTCAAGCTCTTAAACACCAGTCTAGAGTTAACTAAGTGATCGGTTGCTCCTGAGTCGGCAATGAATTTAATTATGTTGTAATTATCAGTTTTTGCGTCACTGACAGACCTTGAAAACAGGGAGAAATCAACGTTGCTTTGATTAAGTACAGTCTCACCTTTCTTTTCGTTTGCGTTTCCACCTTGTCCTTTGGCTTTACTTTCACTCTTATTACTTTTGTCATTGTCTCTTTTTTGTCTTTTATTTTGGGTATTTTGTTCACTGTCATGCTCTCTTTTGAGTTTGACAAAATATCACGTGCGATCGCCATGATTATGCCGTGGTGATGGCATCCCGGCACGCAGGTGAGGCCAGGCGTACCCGGCATCAAACCGGCGTCCCGGTCGCCCGTGACAGCAACCATGGCGCAACACCGCCAAACTGTCCCCATGCCCGCTTACCTCCTCTCCCGGGGAAAGTCCTAACCCCGAAGTACCCGGTCGATGCGATCACACAAACACGTCCACCGCAACTCGCAACTACAGAGGGAAAACAACTTACTATTCACTTGGGGCTCGATTGAGGTATGGAAAAGCGAAAGCGCGCGAGATTGTTTTCTCGCGCTTTTGAATTTGGGCGAGAAATTGACAGTATATCCTTAAACTTTTTTTCTCCTGCTCCAGTGCTTCACGAGTACACACATTAAATATATGTAAGGACAATGCTCAAGCATACGCACTTAAATGCACAGCAAAAGATCTCTGGGCTTGATCCAAAAAACATTCGGCCTTCCTACGGAAACATGGCGGTGCAGCAGACACTCTGTTTATTCTGCGCACAAGCTGAGCCGCACGGGGCTGCTGTTTAGCCAAAAAAAGTAACACTCTTATGCGTGTGTCAATGAAAATGTATTCAATCACGTATACATTTTGCAGTATTGATTTTTTTTTAATTATTACAGTGTTACATTACAAAAAACATCTTTAATAACATCATTTAATGAAGCTTCAGTGTTTTAACGTTACACTAAACTGTAGTGACAAATATTTAGTTACGATAATGGAAGAACATAAAAATTATATTCAGTGAGCGAGCACGGAGGCGCTCTTGTTTATTCTGTAGCTACTGCATGTGCAATGAACAAAAGGATCCAAGCCTTGGACAGCTTATCAGTATTAAATTATAGCACTCTTGCTTAGGATCTAAACTGGCAGCGTTAATTATTAGATTTATTGAATATACTGATAAAAAAAAAAAAATTAACGAATAGTTTTCTCTTTCCCGATTTTTTCATTTCTCTAAAAATATATATTAGTTTTAATCAAAGAAATAAATAACATTACTAAGTACACAATTATAATAAATACCTTATATTAACTTTTATCAACGACTTGACTCAGGTTAGCCTCACATATAGTCTCTAAGACTTCAGTGATCTTGATCAAATTTTGATTAATTTTTTTTAACTCTTCATTTTTATCTTTATCATTTTTATCTTGGTTCACCATAAATATTTACAAATTATCAATCAATTTATTGACAGAAAATGTATTTTGGGAAACGGCATCTACTGCATTGTGTATAATATCTGTCATTGCTATTGTTAAATAATTTTTTAAATTAAAAATGATTGCAAATGAAATTTTAAAGAAGAAAAATCTTCTTACATCTGTTTTTAAAGCTTGTGATTTAAGTGGTCTCCGGTTTTTTCAAGGATGTTTCACTCGACTTTACAGAAACTGATTCTTCTTTTTTTTAAGTCTTTATTATTGGCTCTTTTTCGCATTTGAATTCCACATTTATCAAATTCGTTATTTGCTTAGGCAATCCTAAATTTTTTTTTTATACAAATACTCTATGGGTAAGTTTGGGATTTAAATATTTAAAATGTTAAGTCATACCATCATCCGTAAAATTAATTTTCGTATCTATACCTTGATAGATACTTTCAACATTTGTAGCTTTCAGTGGACTCAATTCTACAAACATGCCCATAATTATGTTTTGAAAAATAATTTTTTAAATTATGGTCATACAAAATTTAATGCTCAGATTAAAATCAAATTACCAACTGAATTGGAGTATAATTGAAAAAAATGTTCACAAAGTGGTTTTAAAATTTGTTGAAGTACAATATTAATGGAAAAAAATTTTTTTTTACGTATACCTGGTACTGTAAGGTCAACTGTAGCTTGAATAATCGGTTTTGCGTCTTCGGTCACTGATGGAGGAATAGAGGTCATACTTTTAAACTCTGTTATAAAAAAAAGTTATTAAATATTTTTAACTGACTAAAATATGCGTAGAATATTACCATCATTTGTTAAATCGATATAGTAACTCAAATCCATTTCTTTTCTTTTTGGCTTTGATTCGTCTTTGTATATTCCACTTGTGGCTGTTCTTGAGAAATCAGTTTTTGGCTCATCTGGAATCATGGTTTTAAATAATTATTGTATGAAAATTTAAAAAATCAAAATTTAGTTGTGTGATAATGACTAGATACCATGATCAATTATTATGACCTCACTGCTGTCACTTATAATCTCATGATGTTGTTGATATGAAGAACCTGCAACACAAGGAAAAGTAAATATTTTTATTGAATGTTTAATACATTAGATGAATTTTTGCAATTAAATTAAGGCTACAAATACAAGGAAAAAAAGAAAGATAGCGAAGAATGATTACAATATTATATTAATAAAAAAAACAGAATACATAAGCTTGATGCCGATGTATACGCTAAAAAGAGTAAAAAATAAATTTTAAACTAAAACAACTATACGTACTTGGCAGACCCACTTCATTGGTTAACTGAAAACCATTGTTGTGAGACCACCCAATGATATTTATGATCCTCTCGATTTGTGGATCCAAATCGATTTTGCTCTCGACATTGTTGCCTGTAGCTGCTTTTTGAGATTGATGTTCTCCATACGCATGACGTGCTTTTGATTTAGTGTCTTTCCATGACTGTAAATTAAAAAGTGATTATGTGACTTAATTAAATTATTACCTTTCATAGCGCTCGCCAAAATCGGTACTTTTCTTAGCACTACGCAGAATTGGTACTTAATATAGCGCTTTTTTAAATTGGATCTTTTTCCTCCCAAAAATAATGTGTTCACTTTTTAATACAAATTTTTTGAACACCGAATTTTTTAAAATAAATAAATAGAAGCATATTATTGTTTTCCAAGCTGTCCCGTCTCTTGATGGACCGTCCATTTCATTAAGGATATTGACAAGAATTTCCCATGGCCTACTATGGTCTTCTTTTCCGTTAGGTCTGACAAACTTATTCCTTGCGAGGTTTGACTGCATGGCTCTCCATATAAGCAAGTAGAGCTCCTTTTTAAGCGAGTGTCATATTTTTTCTAGCTTTCTCAATTTTTCTATATTTTCAATTTAATTTAGAACATTTTATTTTTATACTTACAGTAGTACTAAAATTATATGTTAATTTTATAAACTTTTCACAATATAACCTTTAAAAACAAATATACGCAAGTCAAGTAAACATAAAAATTACACTTACGGACAAGTATTTTTACTCTTATTGGACTTATTTAATACTTTGCCCATGGCTTGAACTGTTCAAAATTACTCAACAATTGTATGATTAAATCAAAAGCTTTTTCGCCCAAACAAGAATGATGCTTGAGTTTCTAATAAAACAACAAAAGTTAATCAGCAAAAACTTAAAGTTAGCTGACAAGCTAGGTTCGATGCGTTAATGTTTAGAATATACCGTTAGCAGCGTGCGGAGTTTGTTTTATTGTATCAATAAGTTTTTGGTGATACAATACTTATTGTAAATTTCGGTGTGCTGGTATGAACCTAATATTGTATGATATTGCTTATTGCCAAGAAAGATTGTTGCATAAGATTCTCATAAATCGTATTCGTTCGTTTAAAAGTTAGTAAATTAAAATCTAAATAACTTGTTTGAAAATGCTCGGAATAGCTGCAGTATTATTAGGGCTTAATCATGAAAGACAAGAAAGAATAGAAGCAAGAGAGCAGTTAAAATTGCGGCGTAATTTTTTGAGAGATAGCTCTGATCCATTTAATATTGGAGATGACGTGTTCAAAAAAATGTACAGGTCATTTTTTTGTCAATATATATATGGGCCATTCTACAAAAAATAGTCAATTGCATGTCCCAGTAGATTGAAACGTCACGTGAGGAGATTTTTATCTGAAAACTTTTCTAAACAATCAATGGTGTTTTTCTGCAGATGGTACAATAGAAATGTATATCGTTGCTCGTAGGTACTACAATTAAAGTGCTTGTAAGTCTCAGATTATTTCAGCCTCTGAAATATACCGTTTTTGGTAGAATGATTCCTATGCATAAATTTTTTTTTAGTGAATAAATATATCTGAAAGAAACTATTTATAGAATGTATCCTAGAGTCACCTTATTATTTATACAAATGATCGAAAATTTTCTGCCAGTACACGAATTAGCGGTAGATCCTCGATTGCAAGTTTTGGCTGTTTTAAGATTTTTAGCTGAAGGTTCATACCAGAAAGGAGCTGGTAATGATTTACAGCATCCAATGAGCCAACCCACCTTCAGTAAATATTTATACGTTGTGATAACAGCCATCAATAGACTTAGAAATCGATATATTCGTTTTCCTGTGACGCACGAGGATCGTGAAAATATACAAGCAAAGTATGGAATTTAATATTTTTTATTACAAAATTGTAAAAAAAAAATACTAACTCTCATTAATTAATTCCTTGTTTTAGTTTCGATCATCGTTTAGGTTTTCCTGGAGTCATTCGAGCCATTAATTGTACGCTGATAAAAATTTTTACACCGAGCGACCACGAAGAAGCATACGTGGATAGAAAAAACAATCATTCTTTGAATGCACAAATGCTACGTACAATATATATGTCGAAATCCACAAATAATTTAACATTTTTAAAACCTCTAATTTATTTATGTAACTGACGTTGTTAGTTTTCATACATATTAAAACTATAAAATTTTATTCAAAGTATGTCTTCCAGATATGTGACATGAATTACAGAATATTATCTGTAAGAATATGCAGTGGATCCACAAAGGATCGATATGTTTGGCGACACAGTGTAAATCCGAACTATATGTATCATATAAGGGAAAACGTGCAAGAGGAACCCTACTATTTAATAGGTTATTTACATTTTATATATTGTAAAGGAGAGTTTGGAAAAAATTCTATCGTAAGCCCTTCTCTCTCTAATACACAGATGTCACGTATTACTTATACATAATAGGGGACTGCGCTTCCTGCAACAAACCCAAAAATTTAACTAAAGATTTTTATTTAAAATATTTTTTTAAGGAAAATACAATAGTTATAGATATGTCACAACACTTTTAATAGCTATAGATTTGTTATAGCACGCAATATTTTAAATATAATTTACCTACAAATTATTTAATTTTTTATTTAATTTACGAAATCTTATTTTCTAATTTTTCTGTGCTTCACCAGACTAAGCCAATCACATAACTAATAAAGAGGCTTCATCACGTGACCCATTATTTTTATAAGTTAAGATATTAAATATACAAGGTATGCCAGGTGAGCCAGGTAAGGGACCCAGGTCTATATTCACCCTGAATCTCGACGAGTGCGATAAAAAAGAAATCATTCTAACCGATGACGTCTCTGGCATAATACCAGGAGACATATCTAGCCAGAGCACAATCTGCTCCAACTCTTCAGAGTTGTGTGGCAGTCCCACTATCCCACCTGGTGCAGTCAGAGAATTTATAGCTACAAATGTAAGCCAGGGAAAATAGCTCTGAGGGGCACGGGCAGCCACAACGGCTAACTTCTTGGTCGTCGCGTCCCCAACGCGCTTACCCACATGTTCCCGTCTAACGATGAGAGGTTGGTTGTCTGGGGAACAACCCGAAGACGAGATATTCTTTGGTCAGCGGCGTACCTCCCTCCATCACAGACTCCATACATAGAGACTCCCAGGGTAAGAATCAAGCTACCCGTAGCCAGCTCTTCATCATCAGGAATAAGAATAGCCTGAAAGTTTCACGACTGGCGCTTTTTAGGGCCATTATAAGTGTTGGCGTTCCCTACTTAACCATCAATTTCATCGGTTCTTTTTAGAATCCACCTAAGTGTAAACTACCTTGCCAACAAATACATTCTTATTACCATTTCCGGAAGCGATTCATCGACGAAAAGACTATATTAACTAAAGACGGGCACTATTAAACCAAGTCAGCCATTCACTAGCAGATGTCACCTGCGGAGTTGTTCTTCGCAAGGCTGGAAAACCCGGTGACCGACGACCCTATATTACCCTCTCGACTCTAAGCATTCAACCAGGAATCACTGATCCTCTCCTAGGTCTGCGTTGGGCGAACTTAACAGCTATGAAGGAAAAAAAAATTAAGCCACCGGGACAGTCTCCAACGGGTAAGCATCACGAACCAATGTCCCCATCTTAGATTACCAAAGCAACTGAATCTGCAAATAAAAAAGGTGCTTTAGACACCAACGTCTTTGACGTTATACCAGGAGACGTTGGGAAAGATCTTAACAACTAGCTCCAAAGCTTCGGACTTCGTAATTTTTCTCCAGTATGGGGCTTCAACAACCGGTCAGAGAAGATCACCCTAAGGTATCCAGGCAGTCACAATCGTTATTAACTTCAGTCAAGAAAGAGTATACTTAAGAAGCTCACCGGTCTTTTTTTGGGCCATCGGACGTCAAACTACCTTGCCAATAAATATATTAGAACTTAACAAAGTTGACAGAAAACAGCCTTTAGGGGTCACGAAAATAATAAGCATGCCAAAAGTCGCAAGAGGGTGAATTGAAAGAAAAACTTCAAATGTATCTAATAAATACAATTTGAGGCGTCAAGAAACTGGCGCAGAAAATTTATCGAGATTGGAACAGCAGCATCAAAATCGACCAATAAAGAATCCATTACGTGAGAGATCAGCTTTTCATTTTACCCTCACAGTAATCTTTTAAATCTTTAAAGATCTAAATTCAAATTTTTAAATAAGTAGAAAATATATTTGTATTTTTGTGGCAATAAAAAAT